AAACAATGCCTTCTTTTTCTCTTATTAAGATTTTTATTTTCTTTGTCTGTATATGTTGAGCGATGAAAAATCAAGCAGAATAATAAAAAAAAAAAGAAAAGAACGAACGAGAAAATTTCACTAGGAACAATATTATAATTAATTTTTGTGACTCGGTAATTTCCGATTTGTTTTATACGGATCTAACAGAATGTGTTTTACTTTGAGTTTGTAATAGACAAAAAGCAAAGACTTGCAAATAGAAAAAAAGAAAAGTTTTTCTCGATATTATGGCCTGGAATATATTATTCATTTTTTTAATTCTTATATGTTCTGAAGTTTTATGTAAAATAAATCAAGACAAAAATTTACGTGGATGTTTTACAGAATTAAGATGTGGTGGTAAAATAAATTTAAAAGACTATGAAATCGGATGATAATAAGTTTATCATTTGTATTTAGAAAAATCAACTAATCTATCAATCATTGTTCAAGGTTTACCAGGTCCTCGTGGTTTACAAGGAGTTACAGGTAATGATAAAGAAAAAAAATTGTTTTTTTTTATAGGAATTTATTTATGAATTTAGGTTTACCTGGTCCTCTAGGTCCACAAGGTTTAATTGGTCCTCCGGGTAAGGATAAACTCTTATGCTAATAGATAAAAGTATTTATCATAGTTTAAAATGTAGAATCAATTGTGAGAATATATTTTCATAACGAGTTATCAAAAAGAAATTTTTATTAGTGATGAAAAACCAAAAGTTGAAAAAGAATTCAATTCTAACATCCGGAAAGGAAAGATTCCCTTTAAGATGCCCCCTCTCTTGTGGACTACGTCTAATTCTCGACAAGAGTACAATCGATTGGGCTCACATATTTATCAAATCTAGATTATCGAAAATAATGGGAACTCTCTTCAAGAAAAAAATTTTACAAGCAAATCTTCAGGAGTTTTTGACGATCCCCTGAGAATATCCTAAAGGTCTCCCATCCTTAATAACCGATCTCAGCCTAAGTACATTCAAATCGGCTGAAATTTTTAGGATATGCTGGAGCTACAGTAGAGAGACTATGATAAAATTTTCAGTCCTATATCATGACGTTTAACAGAGATATTCATCAAACAAGGGCCGCAAAACAGCTCATTTGGCAAGCAAGATTTCTCAGCCAAGGCTCATTCTATATATTTAAATTTTTTTTGTTGTAAAGAGCATGTCAGGATGCAGTGCCTACCAAACCCTTTTTTTTCAAATTCTTTTCAAGCGGAGGAAAAAGATCACAAGTTCAATAACTCAAAAAACGCGCTTCTATTTATATAAGTGTTTGTATATATAAGAATAATTTAAAAGAAAAAGGGCTCTGGTAGGCACTGCATGTTGACATGCTCTTTCAAATAAAAAAAGAATTTAAATATATAGAATGAGTCTGGACAGAGAATTCTTGCTTGCACGTTCAAGAAAACATAAACTGAGCAAAAACAAAAATCATTTTCAAATTTGTTAAAAATAGCTGGTTTTTCGAATAAGAAGTGGCAAAAATCTTCAAAGTTTCTTGCAAAAAAAAGGGAATATCGAGTAAAAATTTTTATGGTTTCTGAAAGACCAGATGATGAACTATTTCTCCATGCATTTATCTCAATTTCGGACAAAAAATTGACATTTTTTGAAGGAGAGGGACCCTAACAGTAATGAACTAACCTTATCGAGGACTATAAAATTAAAATTGATGTGGCAAAAATTATCTAAATTACAAGAGAAAATCTACAAAGAATAAAAAAAAAAGCAAATATTTATTCTTAGGTCGTGATGGTTTTACAGAACGATCAATTTCATTTTGTGCTGAATTACAACAATTTGATATAACAACAAATTTCTATAGTATACTTCAACCATGGATATTATCTGATTCATTTAATCAACCAACTGTTTCAAATTATTTTTCTGAACATACGGGAATATTTACTGTACCTACCAAAGGTCTTTATCAATTTTTTCTTACTATATTCGCTTCTCGAATTAAGGTTTAAAAAAAAACAAAAAATTTTTCGTTTAATTCATAATTTGTTTTTTTGTTTTATTTAAAGGCATCTTTTTATATTACAAAAAATGGTCAACATATGTGTACAGTTTGGCTTGAATCTATAGTTATAAGTCATAATAAAACTCTTATTTCAGGTTTATCTAATGGTTTAATAGATTGTCTTTTATATTGTCAAATTAATGATCAAATATCTGTTGTAGCTTCAAATCTTTTAAATGAAAATTTTGATTCACAACCTCATGCTTATTCTTATTTAATTTTTTCAGGTTATATGTTATTTAATATTTAAATATTTTTATTAAAACAAAAAAAAGAACACAGATCATATTAATCTTTAAGATATGGAATTATATTATCAATAAACCATTGATCAGTAAATTGTAAATGATCAGTATCTGATTCAAGAAATTTAATACGTAATTGTTCATCCATAATTTTTAAACCTAATAAATCATTTAAATATAATAAACTTTCACGTAATGGTATTATTTTTGATATATTATTTTCTTCATAAAAACCAAAATGTTCACTTTCAGATGGTGTTACCATTGAATCACGTAAAAATTTTACAAGTATTAAATTACGAATTTTTAATAAATTATTTTTATATGATTGATTAAATATTCGTTCTTGATTAATATCAGCTAAGAAAATACTTGCTTTACGATAAGTTTCTTCTTGATGAGCTAAAGAAAAACAAGAAAATATAAATAATTTTTTAATATAATTCTAAAATTTACGATCATGCCAATATTCGGCTTGAACAAGATGATTTTGAACAAATGATTCATAAGCACCAAAATGTAATAAATCACGAATATAATTACATATTGTTATATTATCACCTGGACATCGAGGAAATCCAAAAACACCTTGATGTTGACCACCAATTGATATTAAATTAAGCATTGGTGGATTAGGACAACGTTGAGCTATGGCACGTAAAAATTGTCCACCTTGAGAAAAACTTTAAATAAAATATAAAAATTTCATTAGTTAGAAAAAACAAAAAACGAAAAAGTTTTTAATTGTTTTTTTTTTTTCGTTATTTACCCAATAGCATGATAACCTTGTGAAAGATTTTCATCGGAATTTAATAATTTACAAACATAATCAATTTGATGATTAACATTCATAAAAAATCCATTTGATGTATCTTCAGCTATATTTGATCCAATACGTAATGAAAGTATATATGGACCAGGTAATTGACGTTTTAATAATTTAATTATTGTACCAAGACTTAATGGATTACAACAACTATCACCCATACCATGCCATAATACTATTGGTGGTGAACCAGATATTAAAATAGTATGACTAAGACAAACAATAATAATGATAAAAGACAACATTCATATATGAATATGTATATTTTACTAAAAGAATATAGACAGTATATGACAAAAGTATAAGAAAGGTCAACTAAAAAAAAAAAATGAGAGAAAATCTTTCAAGCGTATCCAATTGAATACATCGAATCAAATTATTTCGACTTTTAAAATCATTTTATCGGTATAGAAAAAAAAGTGAAGTTATAAAAATTCAAATTTTGATAGTATTTTTCTTTATCATAATAATAATTTTTGTATTCATACGTTATTGATCGTATATTAAATCCGCTTAAAATTTAAGTGATAAATACACGCTCATTAAAATTTTACAAGTCAAACATAATACAATAATTTCGAGTTCATCTTATATATTGATGTTAATGTATACGATAAGGTCTATAGTATTTGTCTGATAGGGAATGAAAGTTTAGTATTAAGTAACAGGAGATATTTGAAACTTTCTCAAATATTTCTAAGTAGAAAGATACTTTGAATTTTTTTTTTAAGAAGATTAAATGGAATATTAGGTGAAATACTGAAATTTTATAACTTGTTTATGTGCAAAAATGTAATATTAACTATCTTGCAAACATATTTTGGATCATTCGGTCTTTTTTTTATCGATAGTCTATTAAAAAAAAAGAACTTAAACTTTCGAACTTTGTTCCAATATTCAAGTGTCTATTTCTAGAAATGTATGTTAGATTTGTCATATTATGTTGCTATATAACAGTAGTTTATTGTTGCAGTTAGAATAGATTTCTTCAAATAGAAACTACAGATAATTTATAGAGAATGTTAGATGAAATATACGCGAACAGCTAACATAATATAATCAGAAAATGTATGGACTGTTATATAAAAAGCAAGAAATACCACTAAAAATAGAGATCCAACGGATAAATACAACAAATACCTGACAGAAAAAAAATAGCAATAGCTAACAAAATGTATTTCTAAGAGGACAGACAGATAACTAACGTCTATGGCTAAATACTCTTAACAACTGGTGTCTTATGAAATGTCTTAAGTATGTACCATAACATTATAAATAAATAATAATCCATTACAGAGTAACTTCTTTTATTATTTTTAAGTTATTTAATTATAAAAATATTTTAATGTCTTATGTGTAAAATATTCGGAAGACGTTTTTGTTTATATGAATACATGTAAGTAGTACATATGATTTCAATAATTGGCTTACAAAAAAACTTTGTTTTTCGTTTATTTATTTTTTTATTGAATAATCATATGTTTTTTCCACCAGAAAAAATATCGAAATATGTAAACACGCCCACATACTCTTAATACGTTTGAATTTTTATTCTTTTATTAACCAATAATTCTATTACAAAAATAAATAGAAAAAAAAACTATAATTAAATAATATATATCTATATTTTTTTTTGAATAAAATTTTAGTTTAAATTCATATCTCTTAAAAAAATTAACATTGATTATTTTTTGTTTTCATTAATTTTCCATTAATCATTATAAACGAACTCTAGTGTTGATATTTTTCTATTAGTCAAAAAAAATAAACCAATCATATCATAATCTCAATATGCATCATCATCATTATAATAGTGTTGATTGAATAAAATAAATTTCTTTTACATTCTAGAAAAACACAAAAAAAAAAATATGTTCAATAAAAATTCTCCTGAACGTCATACACAACAAAATTCTGATGATGATGATGATGATCAAATACATATTGATCCAAATGATGCATTTGAAGTAATTGATATTGATTCATCAACAGAAAATATTGTTGAAAATCAAATAGATGATCTTGAATTAACAGAAACAATGCAACAAGAAGAAGAAGATGATGATGCATTATTAAAAATATCTCATCATAAAATTGGAAATTCTATATTTACAATATCAATTGATCCATTAATACAAAATCGTGTTTGTACAGGTGGTGAAGATGATCGTTGTCTTCTTTGGAATTTAGAAACTGGTGAATTAATACATGAATATCCTATATTTGATGATAGTGTACATCAAATATGTTGGAGTTTTGATGGTAAATATTTATGTGCATGTGATATGCGTGGACAAATACGTTGTTGGACAAATAATGAAAATAATTTACCTATTAATGAAATTTGGACATTTCATACAGGAAATGATATTGAATTAATGCGTTTTCATCCAACAGCACATGTTCTTTTTGTTGGAACAAATGATTCACAATTATGGTTATTTAAAATTCCATCAGGAGAATATAAAATTATGCATGGAGGAAGTGATACTGAGATAATAACATTAGAAATACTTGCAAATGGTAAGATATTTTATTTATATGATGAAAACATTTTTGATTTTTGAGAAAAAATTTTTATAGTTCGAACGTTAGAATCATTTTTCTATATCTAACTTGTATTAGATGTAAAAGATATTAGTAAATTAGTGATACTCTTCGATCAATCGAATTTTTTTTTCTCAGAATAAAGTCTTCGATATTATTGAAAATAGTGTGAATCAGCAAAGGGAAGTTTTTCTCATTAGGACAACTGATCCTGAAAACCTATGGCTTCCGTTTGATACAATGAGCATATATTTAGATTTAGAGCTGTACGGAACTAAAAATAAAACTTTATTAAGACTTACACTACGAAAAACAAAAAATATTTCTCAAGACTGAAACTTAAGTTTATAGTACAATTTTAAACAAATTATTTTATAGAACATAGATAACTCACGAAAGCTCGAGTCATCGACTAAATAAATCTAAAAAGAAAAACATACATTTTTTAACTTTCTCTACCATCTTAGTTGAAATAAATTCTAATACTAATTTTTTTTTTTTTGTATGTAAATTCATATTAAAACTGATCTGTAGATTTAGTATAACTTCAAATTTTCCAGGTTAGAGAGAATGATGACTGAATACTAGTGAAAAACATGAACTAATGATTTATAATGTAAATTAATGGAGTAATATACCATTTCCGATAGTCGAAATAATAGCCTTGAGTTTATTTTCTTTAATTATCTACAGGAAGTTATGTTAATATACAGGTAATCAAATACAAAAATGTATCCTGACAATTATTCAGTTTTGTTATTCTTTCTTACTAATGGATAGTTTGTATTTTCTTATAAATCTAGTTTATTAAGTGAAATTTTCTATTCTATTATTCATATGATGGTAAATAGATACGCTTTTTGTCTCCATACATTATTATAAATTCAATTGATACTTCTTAGCAACATGAAAATGTCAAACAATTTAGTATTTTTCATGAGTCATATATCAGAATCAAAAAAAAATTATTTTTCTAAAGAATTTGTTTATATTCTCCATTGATCAAAAAACAAAATATTTTATGTTTTTTTTTTTTTTACTAACAAAAAAATCATCCATTGAATGCCATTTTATTTAGGACTTGTACCAATCGACAAAGTTTGAGACTCTAAGTTTACTGAACTTCACTCAAAGCTAAATGAATGTTCATACAACAAATATTTATAGTATATATCTTTGTGAGACTTCTATCCGCGCAATTATTAACATATGAATTCAAATGAAGAAATTATCAAATAGAATATTTCATTATTATTAATTTTCAATAATAACCTAAAAATAGTCATTTAAGCAAAAAAAGAAAATACATTTGTTTTGTTCTTCTAATGTCATTTTTTTTATAAAAAATTTCATAGTTATTATTATTCAGGTAAACAATGTGTATGTGGTTATGGTAATGGTCAAATTAAATTATGGGATCTTAAACAATGTTCTATTATTTGGCAATATGATGATAATAATATTAATGAAAATGATAATGCAATGAATACAACTAATATTAATAATAAATGTATTTCAATGTGTTTAAATAATGAACAAACATTAATAGCATGTGGTTCAGCTGATGGTAATTGTCGAGTACTTAATTTACATAATGGTAAATTACTTTCATTATTTCCATGTTTTCAATCAACAATAGAAGAAGATGAAGATGAAGATGATGATGAATCAAAAACAACAACAACAATTGAAAGTGTTATATTTGGTATTAATCATTTACTTATATGTGGTACACTTTCAGGTTATATTTATATATGGGATATAAATACAAAACATTTACGTACAACACTTAATTTACAAAGTGGTATTGTTAAATGTATATTAAATGATAATTATTTATTATATACAGCATGTCTTGATGGTCATATACGTTTATTAGATATACGAAATGGTGAACCATTAAAAGAATGGAAAAGTGGTGGTGGTGAAGGTTGTGAAATAATGGATATGATTATAACTCAAGATAAACGATATTTACTTTGTGCTTATATGCAAGGTTTATGTCGTATATTTAAATTAAAAGAATAAATAAATAAACTTAAATTTTCAAAAAAAAAAAATTAAATGAAAAATTGATAAAAAACTATTTGATTTGTTTTTGTTTTAGATAGATCTTGTCATATAGACATTAAATTTAGGTGACATATTTTATGCATATTATGAATCATGATTTTTAAAAAATATCAAGGATTAAAATTGTATGCTTTTGATCAATAGGCTATTATTCTTATCATTATACGTTAATCTATCATTAGTGATCTTTAATTTATGTTCATAATCATCATATATAGATGCATTAAAATCTTTTGATCGACAAAAAACAGACGTTTTAATCATTAGTCAATGTATAGACGACACGCGTATGTTAAGAAAAACCACCGAGTTTATGCTAATTGATTTCTTTTTTTTTTTTTCGTCACTTCTAAAATAATAACATAAATGTGTATTTGACTGAACGTATATTCAGATGATGTGTGTTGGCCTCACCGCTGTCGTTGCTACTTTTTTTTTTTTTTATTCTATTTTGTGTTGTTCTTCTTTTTCTTTCTCTCTGCGTAATGCCACACTCTCTTTATAGAGTATGAGCACCATTGAGATGGAAACATTTCTCTTTTCTCGGCACAGCAATACAAATATACAAAAGACGTTGAAGAAAGGAAGCACATTGTGTATGTGTGTTAGTCGTTGTTCGTTTCCTCTTCATTCGTTCTTCTTCTTCTTCTTCTTTTTTTCTAGATTATATATAGGTAAAAGACACACACACACACAAGCACGCTCCAACTCTCTCTCTCTCTCTCTTTTTGTTCAATAGACGACGGCGAGTAAGTGAGCGAAGCATAAAGACGAAGAAAAAAAAAAAAAAAAAAAAAAAAAGTAAGAGTAATGAATGATATCTTTGCTTGACGAATGAGTATGAACTTCATGATTATTATATTTATTTTTTGTGTCTAGTGATTTGAAAATGGAAAATCAAGGTAAATATGAATACATACAAAAAAAGATAAAAACTTTATTTTTTTTGAATAGAAAATTTAATAAATATTGAAACTGATGATCATCATCATGGTAAAGAAATAACAAAAAAAAAATCAAAATTTAATAATTTCTATTATTATTATTGTTGTTTTTTCTCTCTCTCTGTAGATGATGCTGTCGAAGAAGTAATATCATCAGTGACAAGGGTAATTGATGGAGGTAAAATTACACTTACCTTGCACGTATTTATGATTTTTTTATGCATATATACATGTATTATATAGATACCTATCCGATCTCAGATAATGAATCAACAACAGATTCCGTGTATATAATTGATACGAATACGATCCAATTACAAAAAAATGATGACGAACAAGGTGAATTCAATCGTAAGTTAAACACGTTCATAGGATTTTTTTTTTTGTTGTTGATATGTTGTGTTATATGCTATCAGTAAATCAATAAGACCTTCAATTAAATGTATCTTATTGAAATGTGGTATTCCATTGACTATATTGTTGCATAACTATCACCATCAAAGGATTGCCTTTTTATTGTGTACGTGAAAGTGTTTTAGCTTATTCTTTTTTTCGAGATTAACTAGCTCTTCTTTTCTCTATCTCTCTCTCTTGTGTATTTCTCTTCTGATGTTCATCTATTTGTCAACACACCGACTTCGTCCCGTCGTCGATTGTCGACAAATACAACTTGTCGTCGTTTTTTCTTTCATATAATATAACTATTGTTCATTAATGTTACTATTAATGTTCCATCTTATATTCATATTTTTTATATCAAATGTTGATATAATTATTGGTAATGTTGAAACATTACATTTTGAAAGTGCTTGTCTTCAACAATCTAATATAGTTCAATTAAATCTTCGTTGTTCACAATATGAACATATACAAATAATTCGTGTTATATATGGTTATACAAAACAACCATTATTACAAGAATGTCAATTTAGTATATATGATTGTATACAAGAAGGTATAAGTCATAATATACTTTCATGTAATAATAAACAAACATGTTTAATAAATTTAACTAAAAATGAAATGTTTTCATCATCAATAACAACAAATGGTGTACCTAATTGTCCTGATTTTAATTATATTCAAGTTAATTTTGGTTGTATACCAAATTCAAAAGATATATGTGATCAATGGAAAGATGAAGGACCAATTATACATATAAGTCATACATATTTAAAAGATCGACAATATAATCGTTGTCATTGTAAAATACGTTCATCAATATCAAATGGACAAATATTATTACATGCACGTGAAATGAATAGACAATATAATAGTTTAAAAACTTTAATATATCCAAAAATATCAAATATTGATTGTAAAAAAACAACATATTTAGAAATAGCAACTGATCGTTCAGAAAAAAAATGTATGGATATGTTACCATCAACAAGTAATACAGCTTTATTTGGTTCTGGTTCACATAATTTTACATTAACATATGTTAAAAATGATTTATATTCAGAATTATTTTTTTATTTTGAATTAAAAGCAAGTCCAATGATAAAAGATCATAATGTACAAATTATTTGTAATTGGAAAAGACATCAAACAACAACAACAACAACAACAACAACAACAAGAATAAGTACAACAATACCAATAAAAAAAGAACGAAAAAAAACAACAATTGAAATGCAAAATGGAGGAAAATTAAGTCGATTTGATCTTATGAGACATCGACCAGTAACTGAAAAAGTTCATGATGATTATATTGATAGTGAAGATTCTACGAATGACCTTAACAATGAAGAAGATATAACTATACAAGAAGACGCAGAAGGAGAAGAACAAGAACAAGAACAAGAAGAAGAAGAACAGCAAGAAGAAATCTTAATTACTACTACTACTGCAATAAAAACAACAAAAATAAAAAAAGCTAGAACAAAAAAATCTTCTACAAATACTAGTGAAACATCAACAACAATGACGACAACAACAACAACAACAAAAACAATAACAACATCATCAGATGATGACGAAGAATGGTTACGTATCTTATCTCTTGCTGATATAGAATCTCAATCACCATCAAAACAATTATTATCAATAAATAATCGTACATTTATTACTGTAACACAAGCTTCAATAATAAATTCTGACGATAAAATTCATCATACATCATCATCACAATCAAATACATTACTTATTATACTACTTATTATTATTTGTTTAACAATTTTTATTCTTATTATTTATTGTTTACAAGTAAAACAACCTGATTGTATTCAACGTTTACGTACAAATACAAATGTTGCATTATTATTTTGTTGTGAAGCTACAAAACTTTTATTTTGTTCATCAAATAATTCACGTCATCAATCACAATCAATATCAAATACACCATCAACAACAATACGCAGTCATTCTCATCGTCGTCATCGTCGTCGTCATCATCGACCTTCGCCATCTACTATGCCTGATAATCAATCAAGTGAATACTATATGGATGAAACAGGAAATAATTGTCGTGGAACACAAAGTATATATGATGGTGGTGGTGGCAAGTCAATTTATAGTATCGATTATGACGACGAAGAAACAGCATATACAACTAAATATGATCGACATCATGATGGAGGCAGTTGTTAAATAAAAAAGAGAGAGAGAGAGCAAGAGAGTTCGATTGCCTTTTTTTTTTGCACACCTCTTTCTCTTTGTTCAGAATGAATCGATTGTGTCTTGAGAATACTCTTTATATATATATATATATATATATACGTGTGTGTGCGTGATTAGTATCACAAATAAAATGGCACTATAAATAAATGATTAAGTTTTTGAAATATTTCTTATTATAGACCGTATATCTGAAGATTCATTGATTAATGGTGAACATAATGATAATAAAGATCATATACATAATATAAATAATAAGAATGAACGACCATCATCAACAACAATTAATTCAAAAATAAGTAGTAAAATGTCAACAATAAAATCAACAAATAATGGTAAATTTGATAAAAAAAAATTATTATTATTATTATAAAAATTTTCTTATTAGGTATTCGTTCATTACAACTTGATGAACATATTAAATTAGTTAAACAAAAAAAAGAAGAAGCTGAAGTATTACGTTTACAAAAATTTCAAGAACAATTACGTAAAAAAGAACAAAAATGGTAAGTTATAATTAAAATATAAAATATTATTAATCATTATTCTTAGACAATATATATATATATATTGAGTCTTGTTTTTTAATAACTCAACCAAATAATAATTGATAATGTGATTCTACACATTAAGGAATAATAAATATATATATAGATTATCATGTATTTCTTTCTTTTCTCGGCTTTTCTTTTTGTGTCTGCTCTTATTTGTATTTGCTCATCAGTATTGATTCCTAGTATACACAATCTGTTCTATGTACCTACAGGCTTTTTTCATCAGTTCTGTAATTTGGTTGTTATCAACATCAGTACGAGCTTGACATTTTTTTCTCTTAGTCTTCAATAATAACACCAAAGCATATTTCTTGTTTTTTTCCTTACAAGTCTCATTTCTAATGTCTAATCATAGAAAGAAAAGAAAGAAAAGAAAGTGATGCTAATGTGAAAGAAAATACTTTCTTATTTATATACAATATTAGCTAGAGAAAAAAAAAAAATAAAAAGCCACAGTTTTTTCTTTCTTTGTTTTTTAACAAGTGATACATATTATAGAGAAAGAAGAATATTTCTATAGACTGGTATATATATGTAAATAATAAATAGATTCTAATTTAGTGATATATACATAATTATTAAGTTGATTATTTTCTAGGCAACAACAACAAGTTGAAAGAGTAAAAAAATGGTTACAATTACGTAATCGTGATAGTGATCATCGATTACAAGTTGAAGAAAGACGAAAAAAACGTGAAGAACAAGCTCGAGTATGTAATTCTTAATTAAAATAATCTTCAAAAAATTTTATCATATTTTTGTTTTTTAAAAGGCTAAAATTGATGAATTATTACGTCGTGAAAAAGAACGTGAACAAAATTATCAACAAAGAATTAATCATAATTTAAAGTAAAAAAAAAAAATATTATATTATTCATATATATTTTTATTTTTCATAGAACAAATGTTATACATAAACCTGATTCAGTAATGAGTATGTCTACAGATATAATTTCAACTCGACGAGCTATTTCAGCATCACGTTTACGTTCAAATCATCAAGGTAATTATTTCCTATATGATATATTTATTCAGTTACTATGTCGACGGCAACAAAACATCTTTTAAATCACATAGATTTGAAAAAAATAAATAAAATATGATTTGAAAATATTCTTTTTTTTTTATTTAATTAGATATATCAAATCAACGAGTAATAAATGATCCTACTGATGATAATTCAACTAGTAAGTTTCATTTACTATTATTATGATTATAACTTTGTTTTTGCTTTGTTTTGGGAAGTAATGATAACTAGTTTTTTTTTTGTTTTTAAATGGGATATGCTTGTCTATAGAAAAGTTCTTTTTCTCTCTCTCCACTTATAGTTATTATCAGTTCTCATCAACTTAATCCGATTGACGAACAACCATCAAATCATGATGATCATCATACAAATGACGAGAGTTTATTGTCAGGTACACATTATTCATCGGCACGTAGTCAAATACGACCGATGACAACATCATATATATATTGGCTAAATACCGGTGATGATAATAATAATAACAGTGCAAATTTTATGCGTTCGACATACGCAACAAAATGTCGGTCACATTATAGTTATAGTGTTGAACGATGTCCTCGAGCTTGTAGAGGTATCCTATCCTTACCTAAGTTATGTTTTAATAAGCTTTTTTTTTATTATTATATGTCTAACATATATATGTGTGCATGCTTGTTTTTTTTTTTTTACCTATGTTCTGCATATTGCATTGTTTGTTATTCATTAATGAATAATAGAATATTTGAAAAAATTAATTTTCACTTTTTTTTGTTTTTGTCTAGCTCGAGATGATATAATTAATAGTGAACCTCAACATCGACTATCACGTACTACTACTAATCGACAACAATTAAATGAAGTTATTCATCGATTAGCTAAACCAAAAAATATTGCAATGACTCAATCAGTACATATTAGTGCAACAACAACAACAACAACATCACCAAATGGTTTACCAACATCAAGATCCAGTCATCAACTTCGTTTATCAACTTCAGCTGTTTCTACAACATCTTCCATTAATCGAAGGGTAAATAAAATTTAAAATAAAATAAATTTTTGATGAAAATATATTTTTGTTTTTTATTTATAGCATATTCATACTCGTCCTGCAACTGTTCCAACATCAACTAATGAATCTCGAACATCACCAACAGATGAATCATCTAAAATTGATCATCTATCATCAACTAAACAATCAATACATCGTTCAAAAATTTCATCGTATTCAACAAAACCACCAGTAACATCTTCATTTTCTCGTTCAAAACCACCTATACAACGTTCTTTAATGACAACATCAAATTCATCATCTTCAATTTCATCTTCTACAATAACAACAAATAAACGTCGTATATCACCAACAAAACCACTTAAAGCAACAACACCACCATCACCACCACCAACAACTGAAAGTCAATTAACAATAAATAATAACGAAGAAGAAGAACAACAACATATACCGGTGAATGAAGAACCGATATCTTCTAATGAATTAATAAATAATGATATAAATGATGAAAAATTAAATTCAATTAAACGTGAACAACAACAACAACAACAAATTGATGAACAAGAATATCAACGTAAATTAAATCAAAAAATTCGTGAAGCACAACAACGTTTAGAAATTGAACGACAACGTGAAGAAGAACGTCAACGTCAATTAGAATTAGAAGAATATGAACGTGAACAAGAACAAATACGTCTTGTTGAAGAACAATTTCGTATTGAACAAGAACGTTTACAACGTGCTATTGAAGAACGTGAACGTGAAAATGAATTAAAACGACAAGAAGAACAACGTTTACAACAACAACGTGAAGAATTTGAAAGAAAACAAGCTGAAGAAACTGAACGTATTAATCGTGAACGTCAAGAACGTGCTAAAAAAGAAGAAGAAGAAAGAATTGAAAGAAAAAAACGTTTAGATTTAATTATGAGACGTACACGACAAAATTCACCAACATCAAAAGTAATTATGTTCTATTTTTTTTTCTCATTTAAACAAAAAAAAGATTATAATAAAACATTTCTAAATTTAATTCTTTAAGGCTTTTTTTTTTCTGAATGAAAAAAAAAAACAAAACTCCAAATCGATATTATATGAGATATCAAATATATTTGATCTGACTGTTAGAATCTATGTCTTGATATTATTATTAACTGTCAAGAGAGTTTATCTGATGAATTATGTTCTTATGAAAAAAAAAAGAAAAAATCGAGCATATTTATAGAATGATAAATATGTCCTACAGTCGGTTTATAGAAACATAAAGAGAGAATTATTTTACAATAAGATAAGATATCATGAAAATTTATGTGTTATTTTAAGCAAACTTTTTATATATTACCTTCTTATAGAATTGTGTTTAAGTATCAAATCATTTTTATGAATGAGATAATATTTATTTAAGAAGTCATAGAATAGCTTCATTTTTTTTTTGAAATATCAAAATTTTAATAGATTAATTATGATGCCTCTTCGATCATATGGAAAATCAACTTCAAACCTTGTTTTTAGATTTTCTAGTATTTTCACATATGAAAGAATTTCGAATATTAAAATCATTCTAAGTTTTTGTATGATTCTCGAGTAATAAGAATTTTTAAGTGATCATGATGATGATGAAAGTGTTTGACTTCTAAATTTTTTCTTTTGTAATATATTCATTTCGATGATATTACGTCATTCTAATATAAAATATTGTCAATGATATTCTACTCAAGAGAGTGTCAAGACATAGAATATAAACTCTCATACAAAGAAATACAATCGTAATACTTTCAACTAATCAATCGTTTTTTCATAAACAAAAAAAAAAACAAAAAAGTTAATACATCACATTGATTTCGAATATGATTATTAGAAGCAATAAGAATTTTTATACTAAAAATATTCATATTATATTTATTGTATGAATAAAATTTGAGCAAATCGAAAAAAAAAGCGGTTTTTTTCAGTCTATGAAAATAGTATAAAAAACAAAGCCTAAGGGAATTTTTTCATGGTCATATTCACAAAGAGTACGATCGATAACTTACATTTAGTAAGAAAGCGATTAATCAGTTGAAAGTATTCCCTTTTGAGCTATATAATACGGCAATATATGACAAGTTTTTATGATCGTTTACGAACATAGTTGTTCGTTCGGGGACATTTTGATTAAATGAATATTAACATGAAATCATATATAGAATATTATCATAATTTTTTTTTTTTGTCATTACAATTGAGATTCATGAAAACTATATCATCAAAACTTTGAAGTAGAAATAAAATTTAATTGAATTAAAAAATTATCAAAATATTCATAGAAAAATGATTAATATATATGATAAAAATCAATGCTATCAACAAACTTATAGAACTTAAATCTAGATGATATAATTTAATTTTACAAAAAAAAAAAAATTTTCTATTTATCTAGCAGGAAAATAATTCTAATAAAATTCCTATTGATCAAACAAATGGACATAATCCAATAAATAATATTTCATCTCCAATAAATATGATTAAATCTTCAATACCTCATTCCATATCCGATAATCGTTTTCCTACATCTTCATCCAATGAACATTTTCTTATTAATAATAATGATTCAACAACAACATCTATTACTGATACACCAAAGTAATTAATTCATAAAACAAAAAGCGAATACATTTGAAATTTTTTGTTTAGATTTAAATCTCCATTGATACAAAGTCTTCTAAATAAAGCACGAAATACACGATCAACAGATAATTTATCCCAAACAAATATGACAACATCACAAATAATGACTGAAAGTATGATTGATGAATCAATAACAATTACAAAATCAATAACTCCAACTGATCTTTCCGATGATGATCATCATGAAAATTCCGAAATTAATAATACAACTAATGGTCATATTGATTTACAGTAAATAGAAATTTTTTAATCCATAAAAAAAAAATATAATTTTAATCAATTTATTTAAAAGTTTATCATCTTCAACAAATTTAAATTCATATCATGATCGTCCGATGGAAACAGCAACTGCTTTTCAATAATAAAAATCATATAATGATTTTCTTTTGTTAGTGTTTTTTCTTTTTTTTATTAAATTTTCTTACTCCTGCTTTTTGTTTTTGGTTTATATAGATTGAAAGTATGAAATAATTAATTCATTTCATCAGACAAAATATTCATTATCTAGTCTTCTATGATCAATTTTTCTTAATTGTTTTTTTTTTGCTGTTTTGTTTCTTATTATAACTCGCTCAAATATTACACAGTCTGAACAAAAAAAAGAAAAAATGAAACAATAGCCATATATCACCCGTAAAAATAGATTGAACGAAATCAGATTATCTTCACACCCCCTTCTATTGTTTTTGTTCATATAATGTTGTTGTACGTTTTCTTGTTTTGTGTGTGTGTGTGTGTGTGCGTGTGCGCTCTTGTTTTCTTCTTGCTTCATACCTATTGTTCTTATTATTATTATTATTTTTTTCTTTTTTTTCTAAATAAAACACTGTGTTCATGGTAATAAAATACAGAACAAAATCAATCAAGCAAATTCTTAGTCTATTTTTTTATGAAATAAAAATCAAAACAAAATGCATCAATGATAATAATGGCATATCGACTAAAAAAAAAAAATAAGTTCTAAGTAATTGATACAGAGAGACTTCCTAACTTTCCGTAAGTCCATCCTGAACTACGTAGGATGTGGCTATGATATAAATTTTCGATCCTGTATCATAACATTTATGGGAGATACTTTTTATTTCAGAATTTCAATGCTCTATTATTTAATTCATACTATTGATGCGAAGAAAAAAGATCATAAGTTTTTTTAATGACAATTGACTTTAGGTGAGACATAGTCTTAATATTCGATAGACAAAATATAGGAATTAATCAATCAATAAGTATTCAAGCGCGAAAAAAATACAAAATAGTTTTTTGTTTTACAATTGAGGATTTGTTTATATAAATATGAACTTTATCACCGTGATGAACATTTATATCATATGATATTCTAACTATTAATAACAACATATGAAAATGATTTAGAATTTAAATATAAATGAATTTAGCTTAATATTTTATCTAAACTCTTTTTTTTTCCCGGAAGGCGAATATCTATTTTTAGAATGTAATATAATCAGTACATATTCTTGAAGAGCAAATCAAATTGATTATCGGAGAAACAGCGGACTTACGCTGAATAATATTCCACGTTCTCTAATATTTTATTCAGTTCAAATGAAGTTTATATTTATAAAATTAAGAACATATATGAATAAAAAAACAACAACAAAGATCTTATAATAAAACTGCCTTGATAAGTGTTCAAGTATCACTATAATTATTTAAATAAAAAAATTCATTTTTCTATTTGTTCTTAGAAACAAAGCAAATTATAATTATTAAAAAGAAATTATTTTCTCGTAGGAACTTTTCATACATTCATATTGTGTTAATGAGATGCACTACATAATACTTATACGAATGTGTAAAAAAAAAAAAACGTTAGATTTCTTATTTAACTTCAAATAGTGTTTGTTAATATTATTCATCAAAAAACAAAATGAGCACATGTAACCTTTTATCTAGTGTGTGAATCGAGGGAACGACACTCCTATCGAAGATCATGTTGGTTTTTGAGATGTTTTAAATCATTGCTTCGGTAAAAAGATTGCCTATTCTTTTGATGGTAGTACAGTAAGAGTGCTGAGAAAATAATCACATATATAGGGTATTGGTCTCATTGCATAAATTGTTGGTTTTCTTAGCTGATTATTAGTTAAAAGTAACTAAACAAGCTTTATAGTTATATACGAAAAAAAAAGCGATTCTGAAGAAGAATTCGTATCATTTTAGAATGGTTTTGAATTTCTCATTTGGTTATAAGAGAAATTTTTACTTTTTTATTCTCGTACTCAATCATGCGACTGACGAATTATTTTATCAGGAAAGACAACAAAACAAAATAACATTTTTTTTTTAGCAGCCGGCAGTTCATAAAGTTTTGTATCATCAGCCATCAGTGATCCACGCATGGGGAAGGCTCAACTTTGAAAATGAAGACAGCTGAGTCTACTATTAGAAAGAGAAGAATTGATTGTATTTAAAATGGAAATATATCTACTTCTGACATCGATTTTGCATGTTGGATGTTATTTACATCTGTTTTCTAGAAATACTGTACTATGAAATTTTATTAGTGTCCGAATATAGCAGCAGTATTTTTAGACCATTAAATGTCTTCTACTGTTTGAGTTTATGCATATCCATGTATTTGTAATTCACATGCATTTTGAACAAAATGAAAGATTTAATTCTCCAAAACTTTAAGTTTTACTTTTCTCGACAAGGATTTAGTCGTATATAAGACCACAAATGTGTCTATTCCTAAACTTGTAAAATTCATGCATCATTCGATCTAGAATATAAAGTTGAATTGTTTGATAGTAGTTTTCAATTGATTGAATAATGTCTCTTGATCATATCAAATAGAATATTCAATTCTGCATCGATTCTCGAAAAGATAAAACATATTGACAAAAAATTATTCGTATATTTTATTTGGCACTTCATTAACAGTTAATGGATGTGTTAGCTGAAAGTTTGATTATATTAATAGACTTGCAATTTGATAGATATCGATCGAGATCAGCTGCAAAATCTTATATTTTCTCAATTTTTCTAATCTCAATCTATTAAATACAGAGCAAAATGGCACAAAAGTATGTCTTAAAAGTAGTGTGCTAAGGTTAACATGTTGAGTCCTTATTAATTCAAACATTATCGAGTCGATTTGCAGCTACTGACTCAACATTAAATTCTATATCGAATGATATACTGAAAAATACATTAATCAATGTTTATTATCAAATTTTAATATTAACTTCTTTTTAAGTTTATTCATTTCCGATATTTTGAAGAAGTTTTGCTTTAATTGTTAAACTTATGTTAACTACTTTTTTTTTTTTCTTCAATGACAACAAATGAACCGACTTGAAATCAACTAACCGTGAATATGAAACATTCTTTTTTTTTTTGTCTAATGATTTATATAATTGAGAAAATGATGTAATATATCATATTCAATTGAATCAATATAAATGTTATTATAATAGTAACATATGACAAATATCTAAATTATCATTTGAATACAATTGTAAATCTTATTCATAAAAAAAAAAAAAAATATTTTTAAAAAATAATTAACTAATTATCTTCTACTTATTTATAAAACAAAATTAATTTTAAATGAATAATAATCTCTAATCTCATTTGTCAACGTTCAATTATATTTAGTGATAATAATTACTTGTAAATATTCATATTTGTTATTTTTCTTTTATTGTTCTTTAGCCTATTGTTAATTGCCTATAATATATTTATATACACATTGTGATACGATTCATTGAACTGATCACTATATGATTATAGAGTATATAATAAGAACGGAAGAAAACAAAAAATAAAAAGAGCCAAAACGATTTGTTAGTCACACTTATACTAACCATGAAATCAAGTTATGTGTCCAATGGGTCTTATCTTCTATACATCATATGTATAGTTCATTGATATCTTAATAGGACTCAATTGTCGAAAAGAGGGCTGGCACTTCGCGCTCAATGTCAATGGAATGCTATCTTTAGCGAGTGTATGTGTGTGTGTCGAGGGACCTCATCATCACCTCTCACTCATATGGAGAAAAAAATGCTAAAGAAATCAGATCAACGATAAGACAAGAGAAAATGTTTTGTACAGTTCATGAATGAGCAGGTGTATGTAGTTCTTCTTCTGAAGAATCCAGTTGTGCAATTTAGTCAATGCATCAGCTTGATGCGCTTCATTACAATCAAATAAAATATGAACTATGTTCGAGTATCTTTCTCTTTTTTTTTATCGTTCAATATTTATATAATTGAGACATCGTAAAGAAAGAAAGAATCCACCTGCTGTTACTACTCATGATTAAATAGAATAAAAAAAGAAAGTTATTTCTTTTTTTTTTTGTTCTTTAACTTTGATTTCCGTCTACTAAACGATAAGAAAAGTAAGTACCCTAGAAGGAAAGAATGTTAAATAAATAGATTTGTGCCTTTTTTTTTTATTATTTTGTTCTGATTTTTATCAGCTTGATTGATATCATCAACTTAAAATTGTTTATAACCCATATGTCTTCTTATGTCGAGACACTTATTTTTCAAGAGATGATTATTGTCATAAAGTAAGATCGACAAGAGTTTAATTAGATCGATTTTTGATTAGAAGATTTGACCCTGTGTCGAACGTCATTCATGGTCAATGAACACAATCAGTTAGCCTTTCTCTTTCTTATCTTCTCGTAAATACCAAACAAGTGCTTATATATATATATTACAAAGAGTCTGGAATCTTTCTTACTAAATGATGAATAAGATTAATGAGAGCGGTCTCTTTACTCATATTGAGTTATCTTATTTCTTATTATGAATAAGATTCGACATTGATTTTTAAAAGCATAAGAGACAAGTAATAATGATCAATCAAATGGTTTTTTTTTTTTCTTGATCAATCAGTTTTGTTACTTGAATGAACATGTTGTTGTTGTCAAACTCTATTATCATTAACACACATTCGCTTATTCTCGTTTTTTTTCTTTGTCTGTTCTGTCCAAAATCTCTTCTTCCAATTGAATATCTTCACTTTCTCTTTCTCTTCATATATATATACATGTTGTATAGTCGATGGCACAGCCAATTAAGGTGCATTTAGCCTCGAGGATACCGCTACAGACCAGACACTGTTTGTGCTGTCCATCAAAACGTGTTAGATATATCATTATTATGATGTTGTATTGCCTTTTTATTAGATATATTTATTGAAACTTGTGAGTAGATGGTTTTATTTTTTTTTTACCTTGACAAAATAGCTCGAATTAAGCGTAATGAATATACTATTCATTGTTGGTACTTGCTAAAAGGTCTTTTTTTCACCTGAATAAATGAAATACATATATATGTGTTATACAGTAGTCGAATTGTTTTATGCAAGTGTATATATATAT